GACTTAAAAACAGCATACTACAGGGACACAGCCATATCAATGTTTATATCAGCACAATTCACAATAGCTAAATTATGGAACCAACTAAATGCCCTTCAGTAGATGAATAGATAGGGAAACTTTGGTATACATACACAATGGAACATTATTCAGAATTAAAAGAGAATAAAGTCATGGCATTTGCAGGTTAATGGATGAAGTTGGAGAATATAATGCTAAGTGAAGCAAGCCAATCCCAAAAAACGAAAGGCTGAATGTTTTCTTTGATATGAGGATGCTGATTCATAATGGTAATGGGGAGGAGCATGGGAGGAATGGAGGAACTTTAGATGGGGCAAAGGGGTAGGAATGATGGTGGAATGAGTTAGACATCATTACCCTAAGTACATGTATGTAAGACACAAATGGTGTGAAAATACTTTGTGTACAACCAGATATGAAAAATTGTACTCTATATGTGTAATATGAAATGAATTGCATTCTGCCATCATGTATAACAAATTAGAATAAATAATTTAATAAAAAATACAATATTTAATGGAAAGCCAAAAAATATTCATTCCCTGAACAAATAGTTCAACCACCAACAGAAAATCAATAATTTTACTATTCTGTTATTGACTTGTCTATTGCCAAGTAATTCTGTCCTACGAAAATTGCTGTTGTGTAATTGTTATTGTTTAAATTTTTTTAGATGTCAATAGACCTTTTAAAATTTTATTTATATGTATGCAGTGCTGAGAATCAAACCCTCCCACACTCTAGGCAAGCACTCTACCACTGAGCTACAACCTCAGCCCTATTGTTATTTTTATGAATTGTTTTTTTATTAGTTGGGGGCCTTTTGGAACATTACCATTGATTTAGATCAGTAGACATGGTCAGATATTTACATCTCCCTATAAGTTGTCCTTTGATAGATTTTGGAAAGATGAAGTGAAATTTATAGTAGAGCTTGAAGATTGATCTTGGAAAATTGCTCTGTGCAAATGCAAATTGAATGAATTGTGTTTCATACTGAAAGAACTGGGGAAAAGAGAAGAAAGTAGAAGACTAATATTTTTTGCTTAGTGGAAATTCTTAAGCAAGTTATAGTCAAGCTCTGTACCTGTAACACATAGTGACAAAGCTGTTAG